GCTGGGGAAAGGGAGGTCTGGGCCTCCCTTCTGAAGCTGCTGCCCCCGCGACCCGACCCCGGATAGGTGGAAGAAAATGGATGGATGGACGATCTTACCCATTTTTGACTCGTCTAATCTCCTGGCATGTTATTGGTTATCGTTATTATCGGTTATTGGTCATTAGAAGGAGAAAGTTATTGGTTATCAGTACCAATTCTTAAAATAAGCTATCGTGCATCCCTAGTTATAACTCTGTCCCTTTTAATTAACTTTATTCAACTCGTGAAAGCAGCTAGATGATATGCATTTCTGTAAGGAATGCTAAGTCTTTACTTCTTTTTGTGAAAACATTTCTCCAGATTCGCTGATTGACATTATGCACCATGGTCCAAAGAAGTTTTGTTAGAATTTTAAATTTTAAATCTAATGCATTAATTTGAATATGATTTAAAAAATAAATCTAACCATTCAGACAAGTAAGCAAAAAAAGTGCTTTATCTATATGTTTAAAGGGAACAAATTCTGATAAATAAATACAATACATCCAAATGAAAGCAAACAGAACAAATAGAATAGGACTTAATATTCTAAAAGTTTTGTTGATGAAAAATAATCATTAGTACTTGAGACAGAATACATCTGAAGGTCATAGAAAAGTGGAAACTGCATGCTTTACGATCTACAGATAAGCAAATTACAACCAGTATCACCAAAAACTCCCCAACAGCCCACCTCTGACAACAAACCATCTCCTAACACAGTACATCATACAGGCTGCGGTTGTTGCCTACTACATGTGATTAAAACCAACTTCAGACAGCCGCAGTGAAGTAAAATCTGAGCTGTAGACATGTTAATGAGTGTGCTCCACTTTTGTTAGGTTGGCTTCTTTTAAAGAGGTCAGAATTTCTGTCACGCAGCCTGGTTAGACTGGAATCTGGACCTTGAGTGTAAAACGGGCTAATTGACAGAGGGAATGAGACAGAGCATATGGTTTGATTTTAACAGTGTGGGTGGTGTTTTTCCAAGTCTTACTGACAGCCCTTCCACCTTCCGTTTCTTCCAATTTCTCCTAATTAGATCTGACCTTCACCCTAATGACCGCTCACAGTCGCACTTGGTTTGTCCGAGCTCGCGGTGGGTTTGTCCTTTTGTGCAATTTTTACACATGTGCATAAATAGATACAGATAGAACTTAGCAGGAAAGATCAAAACACCAATAGATCTGCATGCATTCCTAAAGTATGTGCAATAGACAAATGGCAGGTGGTACTCATTTAAGACACTCTCAGGCTTCTTTTCCTGTTTTTCCATTTGCAAAATAAACACGGTTCTTCACATTTTTCATCAGTTTTTCTCAGTAAAAATGGTAATGGCTTATGCTGGCTACTTCACAATGCAGAAGCCATTCAGTGGGACTGATTTATGGTAAAGAGTGTCTCTCACCCCTAAAGAAATCAGACAAGGGTTTTTTTTTAACGTGACTTTAACAGAATTTGGAAAAAGAAAAAGGGTAAAATACCTACTGTTGCCACGTAACAGCATCTACAACAGAGCCGGCGTTCTTCATGAACCTAAAAAAAAGAAGAAAGAAATCATAAAGAGACAAATAAATGAAATTTATTCAACAACTTTTCTTATTCTGTGAAACAAATCTTGTTTGTTATAATTAAAATGAATTTGCTTTGAAAAAAAAATCACCCTAATCTAAAAGAGTGGTATCTTTTCATATTTGAGTGATTATTTTTATTTTTTTATAGTAAGGTTTTAAAACACCAGCTGATATAAATATATATGAACCGTGCACATCTTTCATGTTGTTTATCTACAAATTGATTATTCTTTTATATCAGAGACTAGTCTAACAAAAATTCATTTTTGTTTTTTTCTAAAGGGGATCGTGTCAGAACTGACAACAAAAACAAGAAACATCTTAAAACTTAACCAGCTGTGCTTCTGAAGCTCCAAACATCCTCTAATGACAGAAAAAAATGTTAATATCTGTGTCATCTTTTTAAAAAAAAAAAACTTTACATGAACAAAACTGCCGCTAATATCTGCCCATCTCATCTGTGCTTCTATTTGGCCAAAAACACTCCATATTTGGAGCAAATGGCACAAATGAGACATGCTTTAAAATGCATCTCTTAATATCCTGACACACACATACAAAAATAACTTTCACTACAGTGCCTTGTTTAGTCTTGACCCTCTGATATTTAGACTGTTGAGCAGTTCAGCATCAAATTCTTTTTTTTTGTATGCCTGAGTGCAGCAGAGTGCTACGATTGTCAAACACAAAAGCCACCCCCTCGTAACAGTGTCAAACAYCCAAGAATCGTCGCTTGTTAAATATGAGACCGGGTACCCACGGAAACTCCAGCTCTCTAGTCCCCCCCCACGCACACACACACTTCTTCCTGCTCTTCTCACCACTTATCTTTTACATCAGCCCCATCCCATTAAACATCATTAATCAATCCCAACAGTACAATGCAAACACACGCTTTTTAACTGATGGTATACGGCTCCTAATGGTTACATTCTCATAAAGAACTCCAATGCTTTTGCAAATGCAGACACATTAAGCTATTAGTCTGATATTTTTCAAACCACTACCCATTAAAATGTCCCTGGCTCCCCGTAGATCTAGAAACATATTCAGGCTGAAAAGAGACATCAAACTAAATACTTCTGCATGTGTGTCTAAGAAAGCTCAAAAACGTGGGTAAACTAGCTGACATTATTAGTCATGAACTTGTTTTTAACAACATATCACATCTCCATATATTTTGATTTATGATAGACTTGCTGAATGTGGATCACAGCTGCCAAGAAAATCAGAGAAGGCTTCTTGAAGGTGAAAAATATTATGAAAAGTAGATTTTTTTTCTTGACTTAAATTTTGGAATAAAAAAACTTCTAAATAATATATAGAATAAAACAATATAAAATATTAAAAACATTAAATGCAAAACAGATAAATTCCCACATAAGACTTGTGCTTGCTTTGTGTCTTTGAAGGTGTGACAAGTGTCTTCATAATCTCATGTCTCAGGCTGCAGTTGCTTTTAAATAAGCAACCAGAGTTAAGATGACGCTGATGCAGCTTCTGGCTGAAACCAGCAGGTGGGATATTGTGCCGCCACGTTATCAATCAGCTGACACTTTATTTAGGCTGACATGGTAAAAATGGAGCTAAGACGTTAAACCCCACAGAAGGGGGAAAAGTCATAAACACAGAGCTCTACTGCTCCGTGTGTGTGTGTGTATGTGTGTGAAATAAAATGGGCAAGCCTCTATAAAGTCTCAAACTGCTGCTGCAAACTTTCCACTATGTCCCCCCCCCCTGAATAGAATAACTCAACAAGGAGTGGAATAGTTCATTGTTATACTCACCCATCCAGCAGCAGGATCGCGTTCTTCCGGGGTCGTCCTGCGTTGGGGCCAAAGAGGTGAGCTCGGTGGTAGTAGCGCACAGACTGCAGGAGGCTTCGCAGTTTGGTGTAGTCCTGAGCCAACTGGGTGCTGTTCACTGAGCGACCCACCATGCTGCGGTAGGCGTTGGGCTCTGGTGTTAGGGGATGCAGGACAAAGAGAAAGACAAATATTACAAGAGCAAACATGAGAAGGGGGTASAGAATAATTTTATTGTATTAAGATCTTGCTTTCTTGGAAAATTTCCAACGGCTAGTTTAAAAGAGGGGATAATTGGTCAATTCTCAGTACTGCAGAAAGATRCACTCAGTGTCAGGGGAATGGAGCACACATTGTGGCCTTGCAGATTCATAAAAAGAGCAAAAGAAAAAGTCCACACAAAGAGGAGGGGCTTCACTTTTGTAGACCTACCACTGCTTAATCGTTCAGAGAGTTTCACAAACTACAGATGGTTCAGAACTCAGCCGCCTGTGTAATCACCCAAACCTCATCCTCTGCCCACCACTCCAGTCCTAACAGCTCCACTGGCTCCCAGTTACATCCCGCATCATCTTCAAAATTCTCCTACACATCTTCAAAGCTATCCTTCCCCTCCTTACCTGTCTGACCTCCTGAACATCTCCACACCCTCCCGCTCTCTAAGATCTGCCTCCTCCCTCCAACTCTCAATACCCCCCTACGCCTCAGCGCCATGAGGAGCAGAGCTTTCAGCGCTCTGCTCCCCAACTCTGGAACTCACTACCCCATGGATTATGCAATACCACCTCTCTCTCCCTGTTTAAGACTGGCCTGAAGACACATCTTTTCAAATCAGCCTACCACTGTTAACTCTGATTTTCAATATTTGACTGTTTTGTTCAATCTATCTACATTATTGTATTTTATTACATGACTGTTCTGTACTACTCATTTCTGTTTCTCCCGCACTACCATTATCATTCTATGTATAGTTATTTATTTTCTACTGTACAGTGTCCTTGGG